TATTAGTCATAATGTAATCTCTTATGCATTGTATCTCATATCCAGTGTTTGTGCGTTATATTGTGTTATGAAATGTAATTACTAACCAATGAATCAATATGATTCAAGTAAACAATTTATAAATATGTCATTTGTGTAAACAATATAAGTACAGAAAGGTGAGAGCGCTATCACCATTCACACAAAAAATTAAAATCTAGTTTAAATTAGTTTCTTAATTGTCGCTAATTTTTCAATTATAAAAACAAGTTTTAATTGGAAACGAGTTGTGAATCGTTTTTCTATAAAAGACGTCTTTTATGTCATTATTTGTATACCATTTGTATTGTTATTGCAATGAAACCACGTTTTGTGCCAACAATTGTGATTCAAATCATTGATTAATAATTAATAAATCGTTGTATAGTTTAAGGCCTGAAGACAATTGTCTACAGTTATGGACAGTTACAGCAGTTCCGCCAAAATCCCAATAACGGGTGCTTTGATGCAAAACTACGTGCAAAAGGCGGCCACTCTTATCGGCGATGTGATTAAGGTTGGGATCAATTGAGTCACTCATGTCTTAATTCATATTGTATTGACTTATAGGTGGAAAATGACGGCAAAAGAGCGACCATTAAGACAACCGACGATCAGTTCATTCAGATTGTGTTCACACAACCGGTCAGTCATTTGATGCCATGTTTGCCACCAATTGTCTCATTTAATTGTCTTTTGGTCTCACAGCTGATGACACCACTCACTAACCAATGTCTGATCGAAGTCTACGGCATTGTCTTAAGTCGGACTCAATTCCAATGTCACAAATACAAGACATTCTCTCAAGAAATGAGTGATAAATTTGGTATAAATTGTCTTATAATTAGTGATCCATTAAAACAATACTAATTATTGTAATTCAATGCAAAGATCGGAAAACGTATAACGAATCCATCGCTCAACACATTAAGCCATGCGATGAACAAATTATAGACATGCCTCCAGTTCTCACATCCGATGACATTCGGCAACAATTGGATCAATTGATTGCGTCCAACAAAGTGCTGCTCTTCACTACTTCCACTTGTCGTCTCAATGTAATGGTATGTATTGTCTCTCATTTGTCATTAATTGTCTCATTAATTATCACATTATCTCATCGATGGTTAGGTGAAGGAGTTGTTCAAGTCTTTGAATGTGGAGATAGTTGTGGTTCAGTTGGATGTGATTGCAAGGGGACGGGAGTTACGACAGGCTCTGACCGCACGGGTCGGCCGCCCATCTCTGCCGCAGGTGTTTATCGCTGGCAAACACATCGGCGGTTGTGATGACACACATCGGGCCAGAGATGACGGACTGTTGGCTAAACTATTGAAAGGACACGACTATGACCTGATTGGGAGCGGATCTGAAGAATTGGCCGCATTGACACGTGTCAGAACAGCATCGGGTGAGTGATAGCGCTCTCACTCACCATCTCTCTCTCTCTCTCTCTCTCTCTCTCTCTTCAGAGATATCCGCCGATCGGTTCCAGTCATCAATGATTCCCACACTTTGATGAAGAACTCATTCAATGGATCCAATGGTGACTTTTACAGGCATTCAATGGGAGATCAGTCTCTCTCTCTCTCTCTCCTCTCGCGCTCCACATCGGCCACAATCACTGACCGATAGGGTTGAGAGACATGTCTTTGAGTTAATTCTCGCCGTAATGTTTGGCCAGTTTTATGAGTTGAGGACACGTCTCGTCACTCACTTCGGGACACAAACCGCACAACAATTGGAGGAATGCATGCATTGAGTCGTGAGAATAGGGTTCAGATGACATATCTATCACTCCATTTGATCCCAACTTCTGGACACAAAATGACCAAAACTTTGGGTTTTTTGGCTTCAAATGAATTCATGGCATAAAATGTGTTTCTCTTTGAATACAAACTTAATGTCAAAATTGTTTGCATTATTGAAGAGTTGAATGAAATGAGAGACAGATAGCGACTGATCTCCCATTGAATGCCTGTAAAAGTCACCATTGGATCCATTGAATGAGTTCTTCATCAAAGTGTGGGAATCATTGATGACTGGAACCGATCGGCGGATATCTCTGCCGTAATGTTTTGCAATTTTCTCAAACTTTGGGCTAATTTTTCCAATTTGTGGATCAATTCCATAGAGATATCCAATGAATGCTTTGAATTCTTCGTACGGATAGGTATTGATGTGAACGTCATGTGTGTCCGCACACAAGTGCTGTTCAATCTGTTGCCAAAGATGTCGGTTCCGTATCTGAAGAACAGTTTTATGACAATAAATGATTCGGTTTTTGATTATGATCTTCAGATCAGACGTCTCGCGACTCTTATAGGATTCCCGCAAATGTTTGACCACTTGTTTCTCGGCCGACGACCGCAACTCATCGCCCGTTTGGTCAACACTTCGGCCAAACACTGACCACTCATTTGCGAACAAATCTTTGTTCAAATACCGGACGCAGAGGTCGTTAAGCGGTTTGTCCTGAAAAAGGGCCTCCATTTTGAGAACACCCTCTTTGTTGCGGTCAGTGGTCTTCGGCACCAATCCATACATGTGTTGAATGAACGCATAAATAGTGTGATAACAATCACATGTGATGTGAATCTCGTTATTTGATCCCAACTTCTGTTCACAAAACCTCCAAAACCTTTCATTTCTTATCCCAAGAAGTTTTCGGTGACAATGAATGACAGACTTGTTGTCGAAAACAAAGTTCAAGTCATAATCGCATCGATTGTCAAACGCTTTCTCCAGACATGACATCAATTGATCCATAGATTTGCGGTCAAAGAGACGACAATTGACTTCACCTTTCAATCAAAACACAAATACTATTGAAATGTGTTTTCAATTCACAAAACAATTCACACTTTCTTTACAACACTTGTTTGACCACTTGTTTGACCACTTGTTTCTCGGCCGACGACCGCAACTCATCTATCGTTTGGTCAATACTTCGGCCAAAGACTGACCACTCATTTGCGGCCAAATCTTTGTTGCAAAAGTTTTAACAAAACTTTTTGATAACTATTTTGTGTTTGTTTTCATTTCCAAATAGTTTTTATGGTTTTGTTTTATAACTGTTTTATTGTTTTAAATATGATTTAAATATTGCATTATTTAACGCGCGATCTCTCTCTCTCTCTCTCTCTCTCTCTCTTTTTTTCTCTCTCTACCAAAACTATATTAACTTAATTTTTTTTTAAATTGTTTGTCTTAATGCTTAAACACAGACCGAGTGTTGAGTGACTGTCCGCCCATCCAAACGGTTCCCTCAGCTGTTCCGCCGACGCCATCGCCAGACCAATGGTCTACAGATTTGAGTCCTCATAGCAATAGCGGTACACCACATGTCACGACAGCGACCGGCGCTACCGAACCCAATGTGTGCGCAACTGCGCCGCCTATTGCTGACGATATGGACAAACATATGTGGGATTTCTTGGCGAGTGGTTTGGCTTCGGGTTCGGGTCCGAAAGGTTTGCATATTCTCTCTCTCTCTCTCTCTCTCTCTCTCTCTCTCTCTCTCTCTCTCTCTCTCTC